TCTCATTCTTCTTTGGCTTCTCTGTGATCACAACGTCTCTACTGGTTGTTACATTATTCTTCACTGGATCATAAATTCTATAACCCTTGACATTATCACAGAAACCAACTAGTATATGTTTCCTAGACTTCTTGTCCCATTTGGTCCTTTTTTCTTTTGGAATATGTGCCATTACGGTACTTCCAAATATACGTATGTGGGCTAAGTTTGGTTTCTTACCGGTCCATGCTTCATATGGAGTCTTTTCTGTACCTGAAGCTACTGATCGGTTCTCCAAATAGACAGCTGTATTGGCAGCCTCTGCCCAGAACTTCTTCTCAAGTTCAGCTTCGAAAAGTAAGCATCTCGCTCTCTCCACTATAGTACGATTGAACCTCTCACTGAGTCCATTCTGTTCTGGTGTGTATGGATTTGTCTTTTGGTGTATGATACCCTCTTCCTTAAGAAAATTTTCAAAATCATTGCTGCAGTACTCACAACCATTGTCTGACCGCAAGACTTTGATTTTCTTGTCTTGAAAGTTTTCTGCCATTGACTTGAATTGTTTAAAATAGCTTAACACCTCACTTCTTGCTTTCATAAAATAGATGAAGGTCATTCTGCTATAATCGTCAATAACTGGCACAAAGTATCGTGCACCACCAATCGATTTGTTCTCCATAGGACCACATAAATATGTCTGTATGCACAACATCTAGAACTTCCTGTGCACGTGAGCCTGTTGAAAATGGTAGCCTTGCCATTTTTCCTTCACAACATACGTTACAGTTAACTTTACTTGTGGAAAACTTATCTGGATAGTCCAATCCTTCCACTAAGCCACGTTTCATTTTGTTCATGTCGTTGCTGTTTATATGACCAAGTCGCCTGTGCCATATATCGCCATTCACTGTTGATGTCAACAAACAGTTCTGTGTTTTCTGGTTAACTTTATAAACTCCATCAACCAGGTCTGCGTCAGCCACTATATCACCCAATTTGTTTCTTATTAGGCACTTGTTAGGCTCGAACACAACACTATTACCATTTTTTATGAGTTCACTGACTGATAACAAGTTTGTTGTGAGACTGGGTACACACAACACATCCCTCACTGTTATGTCATAATTGTAGTTTGTCGATATTTCTACATCACCTGAGCACAAAACTGGTACTTTTGTTTTGTCCGCAATGACTACTTCTGGGAGATCCGCGAATATGTAGGGTTTTTCAGCCAATTTTCGTTCGCAGTCATGTGCATGCTCGCACCGGAGTCTATGTAGAAATCATTTTTACTGAACTCGCCACTGAGAAAAACAACACTAAAGGCGTTAGTTTGCTTATATTTCTCATTCTTTTGTGGACAATTACTCATATAAAGGCCTGTTTGTTTGCAACGATAGCAGGTTGTGTTTTTCATGCTCTTAGAGTTTGACGGATTGTTGATGTATTGTTGACAGCCATGTCTACCAGTGTTGCCATTCTGGTTCTGACTTTTCTTCTTCTTCCAAGTCCGGATCGCTAGTGCTGAGTTCGTCGTTTCGGTCGAGTCGATAGTTTCCATATCGAGTAGCTTCGACTTGATGGAATCAGCGGTTATAATGATTCCGGAATGTTCGATGGCCATGATCATCGGCATGAATCGTTCCGGCAAGCCGGCTAGCAACAAAGATCCAACCCATTCATCGTTGATCTCAAAACCTGTTCCACATAAACGTTGAGATGTTTCTACTATTTGTGTCACATAATTCATGTTTTCACAATTTTCTAACCTTAGAGAAATCAGATGACGAAGCAAAGTAATCCTCTTCGAAAATCCTGAATCGTCGAACAAAGAATGCAATTTTGTCCACAATTCTTTCGTTGTCTTTGTCTCCTTTATGTGCACAAATAACGATGAATCGACAGTCAAAGCCAACTTAGCACGTGTTCTTGCGTCCAATAACCTAGCTTCAGCATCAGTTCCTTCTTGCTTTATAAACTGTTCTGCGCCTTCCAAAACTAGCAAGTTCTCGATCGCGATTGCCCAATCTTCGAAGTTTTCGCGTCCTTTCAGCTTCGGAACGTTTGCAAGGTAGCTGGAACTCATTTTTGTTTGCACACGCGGAATTTAACTATTAAAACGACAAGAATTTCACTTTTTTTTTGTTACACTCGGATGTGGCCCATAACCTGTAGTAAAACGCACGAGTTGGCAGTTAACCAAATACTGATTTATTTGAGAAAGACACAGAATGAGTACAGAGTGTCACATTGGTGACGCTAGATGGCGCAATCATTTACATTTTTGATATCAATCACAACAGGATACTTGTTAATTTGAACACCGTAACATTTAAAATCATTATGGAAATGTACGCAGCAGTTGGTATTGTCGTGGAACGTTTGTTAAGCGATTCGAGCGATGATTCTGAGAATCAATATAAGAACTATAAATCAGAAAACCAAGAAAATTTCATATATCGACGATCTCAAATCAATGCCTCGTATGGCTTCCCGTATAAGAACCATCGATATGGATTTTCTGAGAGCATTCCTGTTTGCATACAGGAATAAAAACAGAACAAAATCAGAAAATCGACATTTTCGGACTTACGAGGTATTGATTTGAGATCGTCGATATGCATAATTCAATCTTCTTCCATTTTTTCACACAAAATTGTATTGTCAAAAACTGATAAAGTTTAGAGGTTAGAATATCGTGGATCAACCGAGCCCGAACGTCGGTGGATGCTGTTGGCACCGGTGGCAAATCCACCATCAATATAGAGACAATTTTGATGTACAACCGGTCGTTCCAGCGGAAGTTAAAGGACGCAAACTTGGCTAACCCGTTGCACCGGTAGCTCAACCGGTGAATTAAAGAATATACCTAATTTCTAATTTCGTGCAGAAATCTACGAAGAACTCCATGGATTTATTTGACGTCAAATTCCTGTTTACACGTTTGAAATTTGGCCATGAACTGAATTCAAGGATAAATCCGTGGATTTATTGTCACTGTAAAACGGGTATCAGGAAGTTCGAATTCTGTTCAATTTGGCGGAGTTCTGTGAAGGAGATTTGTTTCGCTGGAGAAGTATGTTGCAGTGGAAAGTGTCAATTTGGCAATTTATTTGCGGCGCTTCTGATGTTTGCAGTAGAGATCGTTGAAAGAAGAATGTTACAGTTGTTCGACTTCTAAGGATAAGTATTTTTCTTGGATGTATAAGAGGACGCAAAAAGTCAGAGACGTAACAGTGTCAAGGAATTTTGTTTGGCTTTTACGGTGGAAAAGTTGTTCTGTATGGGGTATCGAAGGAAAACGTTGATCTATCTGATTAGAATTTTGAAATATTATGTTATGTATCAAAGATTTAAATTATATTATGATTTAAATAAAGTCTGCCTAACCGTATGTTATCAAGGCCACTAGATAACCGAGATGGGCGGTATATCCCTAATTTAGTCAGGAGGAAATGCCTACCATTTATTTTACATTGACATGCGTGTAAAAATCTACATACAAAAAGTCAGCCTTTTTTATTTGAAACGATTCGGAAGACAAATATTGCTAGAATCCAGATTTGGATAGCCATAGTAGAAGAATTTCCAGAAGTTTATCCAGCTTGTCCAACTGTTCTAGGTGTGGTTGACTCACTATCTTGACTGAGCATGACGAAGTTGTCCGCTATTGGCGGTACCATTGTGATATTGGCAGATGGATCGGCTCCACAGGTCTTAGCGCTGCCGTTAGGTCTTCTAGGTCCGGTGACTTTTTTTAAACGATTCAAAAGACCTATTTCTTTTGCAAAAGCCTATCTCTATTTCATTTTGATATATTGACTACATTTCGCATGAAAATCTAATATATTCCCTAGAAAGTTGTTCCAGAAACCGAGATGGGCGGTATAACCCTAAATAAGGTACGGAGGAAATGCCTACCTTGTCTTATATCGACTTATAAAATACCTCGACATCACGTACTTGTTATATGCGTTATTTGAGGTAGTGGATCTCCTTGCGGCACCTCACTCGTGGTTTGCATAGTGGTCTTACAATGGCCACTGTTTTTTTTTCACTGCTCCAGGCCAGTGTGAGATGATTTCCTCCATGTTGGTGCACCAACTGTGCCATTTTTTTGCATCTGACATTTTTAACCCTTAACTGGTATCGTCATTTTTACGTACGTAACTGGTATCGTCTTTGACCCGACGATACTTTAAGAAGCTGAAGCTACCAACTTCCGAAATGCTATTACTGATCAGTTGTTAGCCTAATATACTACATGTTTGAACAAATAAAGCACTCGTACATTCAAACTGTTTATTGTCCAAAATCAAAACAAAATACTGCATCTGAAAATGAGTAATGCAATATAATTTACGAAATTGCAACTCAAGTATGAATTTATCAAAAAACTAACATAATGGGCCATTAAACAACATTATTTGGTCTTTATATTCTATAGCGAAAAAACAAATACTGTCCCGTATTAGAAAACGTGCAATAACGTTTTCATAGCCTATCACTCACATTTGGCACTTTCCACATAACAATGTAGCTGCGCTGTGAACTTTACACACGTGCTGGTTACACTTATTACAGATCGTAGAATATTTATTGTCATTGTGAGACGGGCACATGTAACACCTACGTCGTATTTTTCCTTTAAGAACTGCGCAAGGATCAAGAACTCTGGGCTGAGAAGTGGACGGCTGACTTTCATTCGTCGGCGTCGTCGTGTCGTCACATTTCAGGATTCTTTGCACACAGCCTTCTTAAACTAACAAGCCGTGCTCATATATGTGGCAACGTCGCATCAGCTGTTATGGGTAGTCCGACGCGCTGCGGTGGTCTGACGACTACAATAGGCTAATCCAGGCTGTGGCTAATCTAATCACAATACGGGTATGCAACTATGCAGGGGTATGCAGAGACTGCAGCAGAGTATAAAATATGTTGAAAATTATAATATAATTTCCTAAGCTGATAGTATGGCATGAGAGTTTGTATTTAGTATAGTGGTGAAATAAAACAAATTAAATAACTGCAAAACATACAATATTTATTAGAAAGAAATTTTATAAAAGTTCCTTGAGCATCAACATATTACTATCTAGAACACAATTTTTAACTACACAACTTAAGCTTAAATGAGATATAATATAATATAATATTTCATATACATAGGTTAACTCATTTATGAAAGGTACACATCTTTCTTTTCTTCTGTGAGTTATGCGAGTCTGCAAGCTTTTTATTTTTCAGTTTTTGATTTTCAATATTAGCATTATTTTTATTTTTAACATAGTTATTCAGAAAAATGTTGCTGAAAATGGAGCAAATCATATTCAGAATTTTTTCATATTTCCTATTACAAATTTTACATGTTTGTGCAAAATCATCATAATAATGATCCGATTTTATACTTTCAATTGTGAGCTGACACAGAAGAAGTTTCTGTTGACGACACCCAATAAATTTAACTTCACAATCTTTATTACCCATTATGAATTGCATTATTGAAGCCATATGGTAGAAAATATAAGAAACTCGTTCAGAAGGTATTGATAAACCATTTCGCTGGAGGTAATCGAAGTAATCATTCCCTGTTAATTTTCCTTTATCCATGCGTACAAGGGAAATGCAGCTTTCACAGTTGTTAAGTTTTTTTGTTATTGCATGACTCGCATATCCAGAAGTATATATTTTTGTTGATTCATCAACATCCACAACTTGCAAATAGTTTGATTTCAATATGAAAACAAAGTCGCTCAATAAACATTGATTGCTTTCAAACGAATCTAAAATATCATTGTCGGAAATCATTGAAAACTGTTCTTTTATATTTGCTAATGTAACATTCTTATTTATACCTTTGAAAATATGTTTTACTCTAATTTTATTTTCAGCAGACAAAACATCGTCTAATGATACATTGTAATTGCAGCCTGAGAGGATTCGATAAACACCAAATATATTTTCTAAATTTTCACTACTAAATTTTCCTGGTAATATAAATTTAATGGAATAATTTTGGAAACAGTATTTTATAATCTCTATTAAAACATAGGTACTTTGTTTGATTGCTTGGAATGTTTCATTAGTAAGGTGACCATTATTATTCTCAATTTTGTGCCATTTATCGAGCCAAACAACAAATTGTTCTAGAAAGTGAATCCTTTCGTCAGAAATGCTTTCAAAAGGCTTACACCAGTCATTCCTCTTTATGGTGCCTTTTAATACATCTCTGGTGTTAACAATGTCCCACCATTTTCTAATAATTTCCACAAAATCAGCTGTATCCTGATACTCTGGAACACATTTCAGGGCTGATATCGTGGACTGGTGGAACACATTGTCAGCTAAATGTACTTTTTGTCTTTCCAGTGTCGATGGATACAAAGATTTAAAATTCAATTTGTATGCTTGTTTAGTCAATAAACACTTTTCTTTCTCATAAATATTTTCAATATGTTGAAATTTTGCGTATTTCAATTCGTCATTTGTAAAATCATAACAAACAAAAGTTTTATGAAGGTTTTTAAGGTTGATCCAATTTTTCCAAATATTTTTGAATATATGCACAAAATCAAATAAAAGAAATATGTTTTTTTCAGAACTTTTTGGATTGGAGAACCAAAATCCATTATGCGAGAGATTTTTAAACATAATTCTGTTTATTGAATGGTTATCTGTTATTATACATATAATTTCGAAATTGCAGGCTTGGACTAAATCAATCACATCTTTAGTCATTTTTGCTAGTTCTAACCCTTTAACATTATGTACAGGCCACAGTTTTATAACATTTGACCAAAGACTGAACTTATCATAAATGTTACAATTGTTTTGGCAAACTCACAGTCACCAGTAGAATTTTCATTTTCCGCAGAGCCAACTAAACTTTGTGATCTATAATCCATCCTACTTGATACATATATTTCATCGATTATCAATGCTACTATTTTTTCATTATCAGAAAGCCCTTTACAGATATTAAGCAAGTAATTTTTGTTATTCATATCACCTCTAGGTGAGACATGTAAAGATGATGAGATACTTTGGAGGTATCTTTTATGAGGAAGCACAAAAAAGTCTCTTATAACATTGTAGCAAGCTGGAGACTGGGAATATATTATAAATGACATGATAATTGTTGCAGGACAATACCGATTTTTGTTAAAAACCATTTGCATCAACTGGTCAATGATTAATTCAAGATGTTTGTTATAAGCAAATGCTTCATCTTCACATTTGACATAAGCTTTTGATATCAATTCTATTGCTCTGTTAAGCAGGTCCATTATTGAAAGTGATTCATTAAAATTATTTGTTGAATTATAATGAGATAATAAATTGTTTAGCTGTGACCATCTCTCTAATTTTAAATTACATGGCAAAATCCATTTTAGGTCACTTGCTGTCAGTTCATTTCCTCTTAAAAAAACCTTAACATGTAGGGACTCATCAATTTTAATTGTATTATTCACTGTCAAGCACTCATCGATGGTTAAGTTGTAAAAGTACAAGTTGTGGTCATGTAGTTTATATTCCCAGTTAGAAATACATTGTTTTTCAAAATTCTCCTTCAAATCAGAGAAAGAAGATATGATATCAGTTTTTAAAAAGTTTTCAATTTCTTCTTCTTGCCTTTGGATAATGGCTTCTCTTCTTTTTTCGGGGTCAGTCCTTTTTGCTTTGGTTTCAAGCGATATATATTTTGGGAGATTGCAAAACTTACTTGGAACAGCGTTCTGGTTTAATTTGGGGTATTTCAGAGGTATTTTATTTATTTGTCCATTGGGCAAAGTAAATTCACTGAACCGCACAATATCACTGTCACAAAAATGGTTGGCACAAACTGCACTACTTTTTGTAGGAATCCAGTCTTTTCTTGGTATGGCCCTGATCCATTTTTCCAACAGCTCTTGTTCTTTTGGGAATGAAAATGTAGAGACAGGATCCTCAGCTTTCAGAGTGGTATCATAGTTTCCCTTACAACCAGGAACACAACACCGACGAGGCATCTAAAACAATAGACAGTTGTATTTATTAATTGATTCAAATAATTCTAAACAGATACAACTATAGAGAAACACCATATATATGATTTAAAGCAGAGAAATATGTTCAAAAACATAACTACTACATTTTTTTGGAATATTTTACAGGAAAAACGCTTTTTGCATACATAACCTAGAAAAGAACATTTATGCAGTTTTCTATGAACTTACCGTAATTGATAATGATGTATACACAATTTTTGATGAAATCTGTTATTCGATCAATAACATATCCCTTTTTCGAGGAAAGACACTCAAATATAACACCTTATTTTGCTCATACACACCGTGAACACAATCCAAACAATGGGCGTGGGAGACAATTATCGGACTACCATGCATTGTTGCCAGTTTTCTTCAGCATGGCTTGTTAGTTTAAGAAGGCTGTGCTTTGCATGACTGAGCGAAGCTCCCTAGGAAGCCTTGGTTCCGATAAACGTCGTCTCATATGAGGTTCAATTAGAGTTTGACCTAGATGAACAATAAAATTCCGTCGTCTCATAGAATTTTCAGTCCCAGACTGGAACAAAATAAAGGAATTTATAGAAGCTATATTCATAATAGCATACCAAATAGCACACGGCCACCTTCTTGTTCTCCGACCAGTATTGTAATTTGCACACTTCTGATCTAGTGCATCAACTCAGTAGTACAGCTATAGGCGTTCCCGACCACCTAAAATAGCATGTGAAATTGTACCGTAAAACTTATAGGCGTTCCCGACCACTACACGTTCTGGACCAAAGTACGTTCTAGACCAGTCTCTCTAGACCAAAAGTCATTCTAGACCAGTCACTCTAGACCAAAGTACAAAAAAAAAAGAAAAAACGTCGTTTTTCAACGCGCCGCGTTTTTTGTCACCATCCCCCTTAGTAGCGCGCGCACGTGCGCATGCGCATGGGGCTCGTTCTGGTGGCGCGGGCGTACTACGGGGGAGGAGGGGGTGCAGATAGCAGAGAATAAACGATACGCTGTAAGGAGTTTATCTATCTTTATTTTTTTTTCTCATAGTTACACGTTGTTTTGAATTTAATTGTTTTATATAATAATTCCCCTTTGTCATTATAATGTACCTGTATAGTTATGTTTTTTGTTGGTTGGTTTGGTAGGGCTGGCACTTTTTCCCTTTTATTGCAAGGGCAACTTTGTTTTTGTTGTATGTTTTTGGTGGTGGTGGTGGATGGTCCGGGTGCCGTTGATGCAGGTGCCGCCGGAGATGGAGTAGATTCTATTGATTCGGAGCAAACCAGAGAGTTGTCTTCTTCTTCTTCTTCTTCTGAAAGTATGTGATAATTGATAGACTCTGGACAAAAGCAGAAGTGTTTTTGACATTTTAGGCAGTATGCTGTACCGTACTGTGACATTATAACAAATAATGAAAATAATCAAGCTACAACTATATATATATATATATAATTTGAATAGTGAGTATCGTTTGGTTTGTTTTTTTTTATTAGAAGGAAGAGATACATAGTGATAAATTCTTCAATTGAAAACTACCGGGTTATATTTTTCTGAAGAATAGATAGGAAAACAAGTCTATGCATAAGCCATCTGACTCATCTCACGTTTTGTGGTAAATTATTGCATATAGAAACTGATGAATAATAGTAATTATAGATGCATTGTTCTGCGGATTCAGTTTGAATAAAAAAACGTGTGCATTATGAAATTCGCAGAACGCCTTTGTGAGGTTATAATATAAAATCATATCAGGCTTCTTTGATTCTTCATCTATTTTGTTATCATGGTGCATAAAGTTGTAGTGCCAGTAAACACAAACTTAGAAGTACCTGGGTCGGTTTTCTTATTTGGGACTACATATTGTAGTACTTGTGTCTTATTTTTACGCATCGTGCCGACATAAGTCAGTTGATTTTTGCGCAATTCTTCAACTAATTCTATTGATGTGAACCAGTTATCTGCCGTGATATTTCTGTTCGTATTCTTGACTGGATCAATTAGGGATAAGACAGTTAGGGTAGGCACTGACAGCTTTCTTGGATTAGGCTGCACACTTTCTGATTTACCTGTATACGTAGACAAAAGCATTGAGCAGGTAGTGAGTCTTTGCATCACAAAGGCATAATATCTTTAGTCCGTACTTGTTCGGTTTACTTTTCATGTACACACGGAAAGAACATCGGCCTCTAAAACCCACGAGCATCTCATCTATTGTAAGGGACTCACCCGGAATATAACAATTTTGACAGTTCTGTATGAATGTCTCGAAGATTTCACGTATGTGGCGAAATTTATCAGGCTTTCTCGAGTCTCTGGTAGAAATACTATCAAACCTCAATGCGACTAGCAAAAACATGAACCTCTTTAGGGACATCGTAGCACGGAAAATGTCTCTACCAGTGCCGTCTGATGCAAATAAACCTTCAACATCTTCATGGTTGGATTTAAAAACTGATGTCAAATAGAGCAAACCAAAAAATGCTTTCATCTCTGCTGAATCTGTGTAACTCACAAACGAAGCTGTTGTTCCATATTTGCTGGACAATTCCGTAATTTTCTCATTTGTACAGTCCACAATTTTGCTAATCATTTCATCGGTTATGAGAAGAGACCAGTAGTTGACAGGGTTCTTATCTTGCAAATTTCTTGCCACGGGTTTTAGTCCAGGTAAATGCGTAATAATATTATGTCGTCAGGTTCGACCAGCTGTAGGAGCTCGTTTTGACCATTTGTACCTGTTCTTTCCATAAACATAGCCTATGGATGATAGTGGCAAATCTGAAGAGCTATCTGAGTCCACACTGTTGTCTGCACCGCCATCAAAATCGAAGTCGCCCACAGGAACTTCTTCAGCTTGATCGGTAACAGCGTCGTCCTCGGCGTCGTCTATGGTGTATTCTTCATCAGAATCGTGATTACTGTCGAAAGTAGCCGCATCACTTATATCGCTATCATCTTCACTGTCTAAGAACAACTCACGTACTTGTTCTTCGGTATATTTCTTGCCATCAATAACGAAAAAATCCATTGCGAAGAAAGTCCAAAACGCACACGCAACTGGTATCGTCGGGTCACATTTGACCCCAAAGCAAACAAACCTACACTTGCGACGCTCAAATTAAACTGACCTTTGCGGTATATGTGCATACGTATACTGTCTGAGAAATCACGGAACCCCCACCACATAGCTGCGAAAATCCCAAAGCTATGACGAACTGAAGGCGCGCCGGGTCAATTTTGACCCGACGATACCAGTTAAGGGTTAAATGGATCTCGTAAAACCAGTTTACCGTAGCTTTTTGTATCGGTATCAACATTTTTGCAACCTGTTTACTTCAGGCTTGCAAGGTTTTCTTCGATTCTTGCTCATATTTAATTAGCGAAGTCAGCTCTTTTATATTTGAAACGATTCTAAAGACAAATGTTGCTAGATCCCTGATTAGGATAGCCGCAGTAGAATAATTTCCAGAAGTGTATCCAGCTTGTCCAGCTGTTCTAGGTGTGGTTGACTCGCTATCTTGACTGAGCATGACAAAGTTGTCCGGTATTGGTGGTACCAATTTGGTTTGGCAGATGGATCGGCTCCACAGGTCTTAGTACTGCCGTTAGGTCAGCTGACTTTTAAACGATCCAAAAAATATGTACTCGTATTTCTTCTACACAAGCCTATCTCTCTTTCATATTAATGGATTGTCTACATTTCACATGAGAATCTACATTTGATAAGGGCTAATATATTCCCTAGAAAGTTGTTCCAGAAACCGAGATGGGCGGTATAACCCTAAATAAGGTACGGAGGAAATGTCTTGTTTTATATCGACTTATACAAATAAAATATCCTGACGCGAGATGCGCAGAAAACAGAGAGAAACGGTAATAGCAGACGGATATACGAGCCCCTTCCCACTTCAGTTGGCCCACTTCAAGATTTGTACCAAAATATGCCTTTATAAACTAAGCATGACGAAACTATTTACTTCTAAAACAATTTATTTTCCCAAAAAAATTTTAGATACACTCTATTGATCGACCAGCCAAAGATTGCTAGGGACGAAAGGGGGAAATGCGATGAAAAAACCTTACCATTAGACGATTTTATATGGAGTCATAGGCGGAGATCGGAGAGACTTGAATTATTAATTGAATTTATATTTTATTACAACTGGTAGTATTAATATTTTTTTGCGATTCATAATGACGTGATACCAAACATACATTATAAGAAATAAATATACACAAACACTGAATATTGAGAACAAAATAAATATATTTTTTAGGCAACAAGTAATATTCCTATGTACGCATTATGATTGAACAGCAAAACAAATTATGCATTCTTCTAAAATAGAATACAACAAGTCAAAAATATCTGACTGAATAGAAAAATATAGGAAAACAAAAAGTAATTTCTTGATGAAATAACCCATAAACAACACATAGAATTAGACTTTCTACTGAGATACTAAAAGCCACAAACCAATAGTATAATAAATGAATATCTAAAAATTCTAAAAGGTAGCCAATCTAGTATAGTTTCAATCCTGATTAGAGTCATGATCACTGTCTGAGGAACTGTCATTGCTATCACTTTCACCTCCTATGTTGATTATTATTTCTTCCTGTATTTCTTGAATGAGACTGTCTTTTTCCCAATATTCATCTTCAATTTTTATAACATGTCCAATAACCTTTTGCCAGTCACTGGCACTTACTGAAGCGATGGCCTTATTAGAAATTTCATCTAGTTTTTTTATAGTAAATTCGCCGCTTGTATTATGGCTTCTAATGAAAAATTTTACTTGTGCCCAAATCATCTCTATGGGATTAAACTGACACATATAGGGTGGCGTTCGAAGTGGGGTGTGTCCGAAACTTCTTATTAAATTATCTATCTTATAATTTTTCTCATCAGATGGTGGCCTATGTAGACAAGCTATTTCATAAAGCTCCATTTTTTTAGCATTAGGATCATGCTCTATACCTTTTTTGCTCAACCACGTGATGATGTCTCTTTTTAGAGAAGATCTAGTTGGAGGCTTGTCTTCCAAAGCTGAATGGTAAGGTGCATTATCCATTATTATAATACTATTAGGAGGAATGTTAGGAAATAGTTTTTCAGTAAGCCACTTCGTGAAATTTTCTTGGTTCATTTGACCGTGATAATCACCAGTGGCACAGCCAGCCTTGAAAATGAGACAGGCTCCAGGAACAAAACCATCTTGCGAACCCGCATGAACAATTATAAGTCGTCCTGGAAATGAATAAATAGCCTCATTTTAGTGTTATTTTAAGTTTGCCAACACCTTTTTGAATCACTATGTATAAAAAACATATTTTTGAGAAAAAAATACTTGCAAGGGATTATGTATTCAATTAGACAAATTAAATGAGCACTTATTAAGAATATTCCAAAATTGAGAAAAATGTATAATAAGCAAAATCGAGGTGAAAGAAACTTTATTACCTGTAGAACTTATATTGCTCAGGACACCCATAATTTCTTCGCTTTGCCAGCATTTCTTGAAAGTGAGGTCATTATCAACCCAAGTTTCGTCCAAATAAATAATATGCCTTCCTTCTTCCCGGAACTTTTTAATAGACCTAAGATACTTGTATCGCCAATGTAAAATACTGGGTCTTTCCATTAGTAATTTCCTTTTGTTGTGGCATTTACGCCAGTAAAATCCTTTTGCTTTTAAAAGCAGCCTCAACGATTCTTTACCAAATGGAAATTCCATTTCTTCCTTCAGTTTGATTAGAAGTTTACTACAAGTAGGTACCACTTTAAAATCACAGTAAAATTTTTCTATCATTCTCCGAATAATGGAAAAATCGACTCCATCAATTTTTTGGATCACAGAAGGGCGTGATCTCTTTTTTCCGGGAGAAGCTAAAGGCTGTGTGGAGGTTGCATTTTGCCTGTCTTTATCTTCTTTTCTAATTTTACTTATAGTTCGTTCACTAACACCCGTATAATATGCCGCCCTTGCATTTCTAGCTACCAGTGGATAAACGAAAGTATTGTTAGCCGCTTCTGCATCGCAAGCACGTATCACGTTTGCTATTATTTCCCTTGCCTGGCTGTGAATAACTTTCCCATGCTTGAATTCCATTATCACCACTAAACAGTAAATTATATTTTCAAAGTATTTGCCAACTGCCTACGCCTATGGGAGTAGGTTTATAAATGACCGTGCCATCGGCACGTTATTCTAGTTTCAGATAAGATAAGAGTTTTGGACCAATCAGCGACCGGATGTTTACCTGCGGCCTGGGTTTTCCAGCTACATTGCCAAATTCAGCGGAACAATTCTATATCTTAAATATGTTAATATGTATGGACCGCATTTTATGTAGAACATCTGACAACTTCGCAATTTTTTGTCCGCATTCTTTCGGCTTGCAATCTTTCGCTGGTCCAACTATAGTCGTAAAAAATACATATTTGAAATCACTTAGACCTATAACTAATAGAACATCTGAACAAATAAACAATGTGCGAATAAATGCGCGAAGTTAACAAAGCAACAATTGAAAGATTACGATTAGGTAACATCACCTTTATTTTTTATTACGGCTGAAATTGTTCGGGGCATAGTGTTAACCCTTTGAGGACTGAATTTATTTATTTCGAAAAAATAATATAAAATACTGAAACATAGGTTTATTACTAGTTCAATTAAACAATAAATCAAATATCTAACACAAAAACATATCCTGTTTTCCTGCAGGACATGGTTACTATAAGTAATGATCTGCCTCGCTTTGGAGTTTCTATGACTCCTATCAGTCCTCGGGCTACACTTAGACGGAATAGCTTCAAAGTGAGTGATTTGGAATTACTACGTAGTTTATATAATATAAAGGCATTGACAATACAAGCATCTATCAGGTAAAAAAAGATTCTGTGCCACCATTTGTGAGATTTTCGGTCTATCTCATATAAGCTTTTGAGCATGTCAAAGCGGTCCACATATCCCATATGCCTGTTATATTCCTTTACCATTTTGGGGCATGATACATCCTGAACAGCTCCGTCTTTATTTCGTCTAGATGCAGTTTCTAAAGCTGATGGATCTTGAAAATTTCCTAAAAACAATACGCATTTACGGTCCATCCATTTTAGTGCAACAAGGCCATCCGTTGAAACCTTCCAAGATGAATCTCCTCGATTCATGGCTTTATCTTGACTTAATTCAGGAAAATTTCTTCTTCCTTTGCGAATGGTACCAGATGCATATATGCCATTGGAAAGCAAATATCTTTGAAGATCTACAGAATTAAAATAATTATCAAAAAATAATTTATGATGTTTCCCAACCAATTCCGTAGTGAGATCTTTGACTACACGGCAACCTAAGTCCTTCTCAACAGTAGCTTCAACTTTGCCCGTATAAACTTGAAACTCGCACATATATCCCAATGCATCTGCTCTGACCCATAACTTATATCCTCGTTTGGTAGGTATCATCGGCATAGAGTAGAATGGGGTATTATGGCAACTTGTTTTTTATTGGACCATAAATCTGTAATGTCTCCATTCAGCCTTGCAATCGAACTGGCTAGACGGTCCTTAAAGTATGAGGTATGGTTAACTAAGTCAGTTTTTGTGCTGGTTTGACCGTAGTTCCAATAGGAAACAAAATTCTCGAATAATGACAAATTGCCATATTCCCCCAGCATCAGGGTATGGCATAGGACATTGGGAAATATGGCAACATGCGATTTGCATAAGGATTCATTTAATTTATGACAAAAAACATAAACAAACATTTTTTAAGAAATGTTGTTCAACATATCAAAATATAAGTAAACCTAATCAGAATCCAAAGTTAATCTAAAATAAGTTCAAATATGTCAAATAAGAAATAAAAAGAAACTTGAACTAGAATGAAAAACAAACATTCAATTTTTCCATTTCATATCGTTTGCCAGCTGTTGAAGTGGGATACAATCCTTGCAGTATAAGTCAGATCTTGTGCAGATCTCATGGATCCAGTCTGAACACCTCGTGCATTGTATCCAATCGCATTTGGGACCCTTTTTGTCGAAATAATATCCACCGCATTCTGCACAAATTTCAGAACGGTCTACTTCTATTTCTGATTCACCACTTTCCTGTGTAACTACTTCCGTTTCGCTTTCGGACGAACTAGAATCAAATCGGGCTCTTCTACGACTTTTTTCTTTGGCAAGCTTTTTGTTACTTCCTGCCTTTTCCTTAGTATTGCTACTGTGTTTCTCATCCGTTTTTTTCATCCCTTGCTGGGATTTCATCAGTTTCGCAGATCTTTTTTTTTCTTTGGCCTCTTTTTTCTCTCGTTTTGCTGCTACTACCTCTGGTGATGTTAGTACCTCTGCATGCTGTTTTCGCTTCTGGCACCCACTCGTTCCTGGTATGCACGGAACCGCTGAAATAGCTTCAAATGGATTTTGATCTGGATCAGCTGTCTTTGGAGAACGCCCTTTGTTTTGGTTGTTGGCATCAATAATGACATGAGCAGTGGCTTCCCCAATATTTTCATCCGGTGAATTCTCATTTCTAAGAGCAGCATTTGCAGTATTTTTGCAGATAAAAGCATATTCTGGGATTTTGGATTTATCAAAAGGAAAAATACCACATGTCCTAAATCCTGATACTGCATTTTGAACTGAGGCAGCTTTACACCATGCAGTATTGAGGAGTGACGGAAACTGCAATCTGGAGAGTTTGCGACCGGGATTGTTTTGTACCCATTTCTTACATGCTTCATTCCAATAAACCTTAACCTCTTAAGTGGCCAGAATGAAATCTCAGAGTCGCACCCCAGATGGCCAGCTTCTTTACCACATGCGAACATATCCGTCATATCCATTACATGATCAAGGATGCGTATATATACGTTGTGGCCATTGATAATACAAACTATTTTAAGAAAGCGTATATTTACGTTTAAAAATACATGCACATAGAATTTATAAAAAAACCTAACAAAAGTATCTTTCATGGTAACTGAAGGGAAATCATTCTTCTATGACATTTGATATGCTCTTATTATTATTACATTCTACATCTGCAAATAAAATATTTTCATTAGTATTTTATAATCCAAAAATGAATAGCAACATACCATTATTCTTTGGTGTGATATATGCCGAAACATGGGGCAGGGCACAAGCCAGTGTGACATTCTTTACACCAATATCTGCTTTCTTTCCGAATTTTTTTTTCATGACATACCTGACACCTGGAATCAATAAATTTTCGTATAATTATATCATTAGCAAAAAAATATATAATTCACCTTTTTGTTGGTTTCTGCTTTGTAGTGGGTGGAATCACTGAAGGAAAGTGGCGTTCACTGTATCTTGTTGGTAATGGAGTTTTGGATCTTCTCCTTTGTCTTGAATTTGATTGATTATATTTTTCTACTAGTTTTTCACCAAGTTCTATCAGGAAATTTAGCCTTTTTAGCTTTCCTCCAGATTTTTTGTAAATGTGGTAGGAATTCAGAGTCGTCACACTCAAAAAATGCCAAAATATCTTCATATAGAATTTTTTCACTCTGCTTCTGGTAGTTCCATAAAAATGCAAGTAGTTATCAGTTAGATCTACTCCGCCCATTTTACTGTTGTACTCCAGAATACATAGAGGTTTTTCAACATCGCCGGTCCTTTTTTGAATAGTTCCCATGCTTCCGTCATGTATTGTGCTGAGCATTAGGACGTCTTTCTTATCTCGCCATTTTTGAACCATAATTTTTTTTCTATAACGAGCAACATTCTCACCCTTAGAAAGTTTCTTTTTTATGTCAGTGGGCACGCCTTTTCTATTTAATCTCATTGTCCCTACACAATCGGTTCTATTTTTTACTAATTTATCAGCCAGGTCGACGCTTGTATAGAAATTATCCAAAAAGAGTCGATAACCTTTTCCTAGTAGGGGATCCATTAGTGAGAGGACTATCCTAGCAGTTACTGGTTCATTAGAATACTTTTCTCCATAGTCAGTGTCACAGCCAGTGTATATTATAAAATTGAACATATATCCTGAAGAACTTTCACATAATGCAAACATTTTCATTCCAAATCTCTTCCGTTTTGATGGAATATATTGCTTCCAACTTAGCCTGCCTTTCCAACCTATCAAAGATTCATCTATTGAAACGTCTCTTTCCGGTAAATAAGTGGACATAAATTTTCCCCTCAAATGATTTAAAACTGGCAGAATTTTAGCAAGCTTTCGACATTTTGTATTTTCATTTATTGTTGAGTTATCAACAAAGTGTAAAAATTTGATCAGTAAGTGGAATCTTCTTTCGCTCATAACTTTTGGAAAAAATGGCGTTTCAATGCTATGTCTCCGGGAAAAATACATTTTATACTCTGGCTTAGGGTTTATACCTTGTAAAATTAGTAGTCCTAGAAGTGTTCTAATTTCATTTTTATTTGTTTGTGTCCATTTTCTTACCCGGGACTGTTCTTTTAATTTTCCGTGATTGTTTATAATGAATTGAACAGCAAACCTATTTGTCTCTTCTACAATCAGTTCTATTAGTGCATCATCGAAAAAAGACTCAAAAACGTCCAGCACATCAGGAATATCATCTACCTGTACGCCACTGGTCGCTGTAAATGGAAAAGGTGGTCGGGGAATTCCATTTTCGGTCCAAGGCATATCAAAACTAAAATCCTCGTGTTCACTTTCAACTTCAATCTCTTCCTCCAGTACGTCATCCTCACTTTCAACACTATCTTCGCTGTATTCTGAGCTGCTTTCGGATTCATCGGAACTCGTAAAGTCATATTCATTAGTACCCGAGATATCATCACAGTCCATTTCAGAGCACGACGCCGACATATTCAATATTTTCATACAACAAAACACAGGAATTTATAGACGAAAATAAATAGTACAGCACACACAGACAAAAAAGCGCGGTTTTTTTCGCACCGGCGCATCCATAGAACATTGGACCACGCTGGGAACCATCGCATACGACTATATACGGCATAGCCATTGAAGGCACCAAGGAAAATCTGGTCGCGATTATATCCGTCATAGTCACTGTGATTAGTACTTTGAAGTCCGGATATATACGTCATAGCCACTTAAGAGGTTAAGAGGCTTGAAGAATGATCTATCTAATGGCTGCAGCCAATGAGTAGTGTGGCTAGATAGGCACAACAGAATTATGTCATTGGCTGTTGCCAGGTCTAGTATATCCACATCAGAGCAATGAGAGGAATGACCGTCAAGGACGAGGAGTACTTTGCCTTGTTCTTTACGTGGAATAAAGTGATGAAGAAGCCATGCTTTGAAAATATCCGTAGTTACATACGCCGATTTTTCACTCATTACAACTGTACCACCTGGTGGCAATCCGTCTTCAAATTCTTTTTTCTTGTTTTTTCCCTTCATAATGCAGTAGGGTGGAAGGAAATGACCTTCTGCATTCACGCAGGCTATAACTGACACAGTCTCACCTTTCTCTGCACTTGTTACACAATTTACCATTTTGGAACCTCTGGTAGCAATTACCTTTCCTGGGTTGTTATTTAGCTGAACCCCAGTTTCATCTACATTGAAAATTTTTCTGGGAGCGGATATTAGGTTATTTTCTGTTAAAAGGTTCCCGAGCAGGTCAAAGTAATGATCGCATTCTTCTTTGTTCATACCTTGAGCTCGAGCCGTTGACATTCCCTGAGCTTTTCGAATGGATAAATTTGGATGTCTCTTCATAAAAGAGCAGAACCAGTCATGGCCAGCTTCTTTTTTCTCCGGATTAAAATTATTTTCTATGTTATTACAGTTGGCAAAAGAGTACGCAATCTTTTTTACGTCTACAGGTGTTAACGCAAAACCCATCTTCTCCATTTTTTTGATATAATCTACCAAGCTTCGTTCATGTTCTGGACTTAGATAACTCTTACGCCCTAACTTGACCTTGTTTGCGTTTCCTGATTGGATCCTCCTCATTAAGGTCCTAACAGGCACAGCATATGTCCGACTTATTTGCCTTATTGAACCACGACCACATCTAACATCCGAGATTGCATTTATCAGATCTTCTGCCGACCACATGGCCCTCACATTTTTCTTGGTGTAATTTCGTGGCATCTTCTTTACTCTGAAATTTTAAAATGGTAAATGATACATACTGGGATAATATGCCGCATTTTGGGGTAATATGGCAGTATTATGGCATATTACCCCAAAGCGTATCTTCCAGATTTAGCAAATCATAAACTCATGTCTAGTGAAATCTGGTTATCCTACGTGGCATAAAAAGTTAGGTTATGTACCGCAGATTCCATGGTCCCTACTGGAAATAGCATCAAAATACTTACAACTGCATTCACATCGGCAAAAATCTTATTAAAAAATAATTTGAGCAATGTACTTACCTTGTAGGTTACGTATTTTTTCCTAAATACTGTTAAATACTCCTCTTTGAATATTTTCCGCGATGAAAACAGCAAATCAACGTGCACTTGACACCTACCTGGACGCCACCTCGCGATTTACAACGGAAATATTGAACTGCGGCGTATTACCCATGGTGCCATATTACCCCACTTTACTCTATATTGTTTTATGCTACTTCTACCTTTGAATTTTATCATTGACTCATCAACTGACTGAAATTCACTTGGTCTAAGCGATGTTCGAAGTGTGTTGTTGATCTTGGAAATTAATGGTCTGAGTTTATATAGCTTGTCATAATTAGCATCATTTCTCGTCGGTTGAACCGAGTTGTCGTTGATGTGAATGTTACTCAAAAGCCATGAAAATCTGTCCCGGGTCATAAGCTGGGAAATAAATGGGTCTCTCAATTCTTCTTTTGAAGACCAGTAATCTCGATAACTCGGCAGTTGCTTCACACTCATAATCATATTGATACCGATAAATGTCTTTATTTCCTCACTTGTGGTGGGAATAAAATTATTTCCACCACCATTTTTTTGCATCACATATAAATTTGTCTGAAATACCATATTTACTATCATTTCTTCTGAGAATAGATGTAAAAACATGTCTGTAGGTGACTCAACATTTTCTGGAATATTATGACCCGTTTCTTTGCTGAATTCGTGAGTTTTTGTAACATATTGCGTATTATTGATCCATACTATTGCTGATTGTGTTTTTGTTTCGGCCTGAATTACGGAGAGCGGCAAGTCATCTTCACTGCCCCAAACAAGGTTTTCATTCTTTCTTGCTGTTTCATTGTTGGTAATTCTGTCGTTGTTGTCAAATATGATGTCCATACCTTCAATTTGAAATAAATTATTGTCCTGCTGATTTTCATTGTCACCCGGAACTTCCACTTCATCATTCATAACATCTTCTATATCACTGGCAATGGATTCCTGATCACTTGGTATGTTATCTAACAAGCAATAAAGTTCATCTGATGTCATAGATTCAAGTTCAGCACAACTCCAGCCATTTTTTCTACCTGCAATATAAAAATACAACATGTTCCTAGTGGTTACCAACAGAAACCGGTAAAATCAAGTGCTGATATCTGCACATTCAATGGCTAAAGGAATTGAAATTATATGCCAAATATATCTATTATATATTTACAAATTACTCACCAGCCATATTTGTCCTACTACTTCGCAAAAACAGAAAAAATAAGGTAAATTCTGATGGAAAGCTCGCCACTGACGCTATCCAGACATCGACAATCACAAACATAACAAAATCTTATGACGCGACTGGAAAATCTCGGCAATCACGCTCGACGTAAGTATGTATCATAGGCAACCAAATAAACATCATGGTTTCATACGCTACCCACTCGGAAAACAGTGAATCGATGTTAGATATGTGGTTAGCAGTAGTGACCAGTTGTCCTCAAAGGGTTAACCAAGTTTTGGCAAAAATTTGGTGTAAAACAATCGCATATTTCTTGAAGCTTTTGTCTCAGTTCGGTGATTGTACAAGCAGGATGTTGTCCTAGAACCATTTTCATGTCGTGCCACAAAGTTTCAATAGGTGACAGATCTGGACTGCTAGAAACCCATTTCAAAAGTGGTACATTATTTTCTTCCATCCATTTTATAGCCTTTTTTGAGGTATGGCACGCTGCACCATCTTGCTGAAACACAAAATCTTGGCCGGATGTCAAACATTCTTCCATCACTGGTAAAAGCGATTCTTCTAAAATTGCCAAATATTTGTTTGTATTCACATTTCCATCAATAAAATGAAGTTTTCCTACTCCTTTTGATGACATACTGCCCCAGACCATAATGGATGCTGGAAATTTCACTTTTCCCTTCAGACAGTCAACATGGAATGCTTCATTTTTTTGCGAATAACTCTACTGCGAATGTCACCAACACAAACTTCGAATCAGGCCTCATCACTCCATTGTATTGCACACCATTGTTGAGGTGTCCATTGTCTACGTTCTTTAGCCCATCTAAGCCGATTTTTCTTTTGCAGTGGAGTTAATAGTGGCTTTTCTTTGGCGGCCTATAAACAAGTTGTGCAACTTTAGGGTTTTTACTTCTCTTTTTTTTATAAGAAAACTTTCCTTGAAAGTGCTAAATCCCAGCTTGTGGGCCTCTCTATGAGTTATGGACCTCGAAATTCTCCTTCCAACAGCGTCACTCCACAGAGCACTTAATTGTAAATAATTGGCACGCCTGTTTTTCACGATTATTCTTCTTAATGCTCTTCGGTCGGCATTTGTGATATTACTTTTTTTCACATATCGTGGCTTAAAGGTGCGTATTCATCTGAGCACGAACGGGAACGAGGCAAGGCAAGGCCGAACGGACGCTTGCCGCATGCCTCGGTTGTTCAAATTTGAAGTCGCGAACGGTTCGCCGAGGCAGCGAACAAAGTAGCTATCCGCCGCACACCCGAATAGATGGAAATATGTGATCAGTCCGCACTACGCTCTAAACTAACTAACAATAATTTCGCAAAAATAGTATGGCTGATGACGACGTTCTAGTAATCAGTACTGCAGCATTTATTGTGATAGCCGGTCTATCCAAAAGAAAGAAGAAAAAGCGCTGGCGGACTACTAAAATATATCGTAATAGGTTGGTTACACGTGGAAAATTATTCTTAAATGATTTGATGCAGGAGGACGGAGCACATTTTCGAAATTTTACCAGAATGTCATCCGACGACTTTTTTTATTTACTGGAATCAATTCGTGACAAAATTACGAGAAGTGACACACATTTTCGAAAAGCCATCACTGCTGAGGAAAGATTGGCCATAACATTAAGATACTTGGCAACTGGTGACTCGTTTAGTAGTCTACAATATTTATTCAACGTATCAAAACAAGTTATTTCAAAATTTGTCCCGGAAGTATGCAAAGAAATAATAAATACATTGAGTCAACACGTAAAGGTATGTTTAATTCAATCTTAACTAACATTTCACGTATATTTCATCATATTTCGAGAAGTAGGTAGCTGTAGTTAGCTGGTTAGCAGTTTGTTGGCTTGAATTGACTTGAAAGATGAGTGAATTCTCGGACGTAATCTCCTGGTGGTCGGGTGGCACTTCCTGGCTATGGGTGCTCGAGTGCTCACTGGATGATTGTTGTGGTGCATGTTCATTATATTGTTGTATATTACTTTGAGGACATTGAAGTGGTGATGGAGTACAAGATGGAGGTCCTACTGATGATATTGACGAAGAAGGAGACGGTAGTGAATTATAAGTACGAAAGTTTTGACAAATAGATGTTGAAGGTTGAAATGTTTGTTGGGATGGTGATAACACCTGAGGGGAAATTGGTAAAGAGTCCAGTTCAGCTTGGAAAATAAGATTATGTATTTGATGTTGCAAAACAGCTCTCGTATGAGGGCTAAACTTTCGCATTTTTTGTGCGATAAAGTCAGCAAACATTGAGCATTCATCTTTACTCTGAGTGGCTGTTCTGCTTTTTAAAATATCGTAGGCCTCTTGTATACGAGGGTCCTCGTTTTTTTTTCTTTTCGGAGCATTTTTATGTGGTGACAAAAATTTTTTTTGCGAAGAAATAGGATTTTGGTCCTCAACAATTCGGTCTGTATTGTCAGTAGTTTCTTCATCAACTTCTATGATGTCGGATGAAGCAGGATGATTCTGAAAAAATATATTTTTTTATTTTTTAGGTACCTTCTACAACAGTTGAATGGTTAAAAATAGCAGAAAAGTTCAACGAAACGTGGAATTTTCCACATTGCTTAGGAGCCCTTGATGGGAAACATATACCGCTGCAATGTCCTATCAATAGCGGTAGCATTTATTATAATTACAAATCAAATTTTAGTATTGTATTAATGGCTCTTGTTGATGGTGACTACAATTTTATTTTTGTGGACGTTGGTTGCCAGGGTGGTGTTTCTGACGGAGGTGTATTCAAAAACTGCCAGTTGTACAAAGATATGGAAAAAAACATTTTGAAATTTCCAGGGTGCTCACCTCTACCTGGCAGGAACAAAGAAATGCCGTACGTATTTGTTGCCGACGAGGCGTTTGCACTAACAGAAAATATAATGAAACCATACTCCGGTCGTCATCGCAAAGGTTCTAAAGAACGGATTTTCAATTATCGACTGAGTAGGGCTCGTCGAATAGTTGAAAATGCTTTTGGAATTATTTCTGCTGTTTTTCGAGTCTTGAGAAAGCCAATGTTGCTGGAGCCAGAGACGGCAAAAGTAGTAGTCATGGCAACCATTTGTTTACACAATTTCTTGCGTAAAAGCCATTCGTCAAGAAATATCTATACACCGGATGGAACTTTTGACAAAGAAAAAAATGGAAAAATCATTCCTGGCTCGTGGCGAGAAGGCAACGGTGACAAATCTTCTTTAGCTCCATTGGAAAATGTTCCACGTAAATCAAGTATTTCCGCACAAAATATACGAGCAGAGTTTACTGATTATTTCTGCTCACATGGTTCTGTTCCTTGGCAAAATGATTACGCCTAAAATATTGTAAAATTTTTTTTCCAATAAATTCGTTTATGCAACTAGTATATAATTGTTTTATGTATGTATTATCTCCTATTTAAAACAGAAACTGTGCCACAGAGTTTATGTGTAATCTTTGCATCTTATCTTGTCTCCAAAAATGTCCAGTGGACGGCTTGACCATCTTTTCTGGGACACCCTGTATATGTAGTTAAACAAACAAAAAAAAAACACAAAAAACAGACTCACTTAAAAAGAAAATCAAAAATATCAAATTATTAATACGTACGGACAATGTTTCTTGTAGCTCTTCTGGGTCATCTAGAAATTTTAGGCTATCCCATGCAAACCATTTGGACTCATAAATTTCGTTTCTTCCTGAAATTAAAAAAAATATTATACTTTTGGTTTCATCAGAATTATTACTATTGAAAAAATATTATAAACATTGGTGCTTCAACTTACCTTTACCTGTTCCCATGCTTTTAGCAATTCTATTTTTTTCCCTCCTTCTTGAACCTCGAAGACTATCAATTTTCTTTTTTAAGACGTCCACGGATTCATTACATATTTCACCTATCTCTCTCCATGCATCTTCTTTTCTGATTATATTATAATAATGTTTATCGTTCTTTTTCCACAATATCGGGCGCTTTTCATACTCTTTAATGAAAGATAGTGTTTTTTCCGTGTCCCAACTCATATTTTACCAATCGGCGGGCGGCACGAACGTACGATGACTAAACAAACTGTCCACATCTAAACGCGCGAGGCAAAATTTGTCTTTGATGTACCGACTACCTTCGGATGGCTCCCGAACTGCCTCGCTCCATACGACGGACGGCCGAACGCAACGCGGCGCGCCTCGGATGTACGTCCACATCTGCACATACGCCATGCCTCGTTCCCGTTCGTGCTCAGATGAATACGCGCCTTAATATTAACTGTACCAGTTACGTTATATCTTCTAACAATATTTCTCACACTGTACCGCGATAAGTCTAAGTGTACGTGCACATAGCAAGAGGAAGCGAGCGAGTCGTTGCGATACGTAGCGATGCGAGACCGAACGCTAGAGATTGCTGTGCATATTGAACGCGTTTGAAAAGGCGGAATTTTTATCACTTTCCCACAGTAGTCAGTGAACAGTCGCGATGGATACAGCGTTATTATTATTATTGGAGAATCCTCTAATAAAACGACGTTTAGCCAAGAAAAGAAGATTTTGGACACATAACATCAATCGTTCGAGAGAAAGATTTGGAGAGTTCTTTCATTTGTATAAAAGTTTACAAGAAGACTCCGAAAGGTTTTACAGATATTTTCGGATGAAGGAGAGTACTTTTTCTTATATTTTAGAAAAAGTAGAATGGCGAATCAAGAAACAAAATTCAAATTTCCGAAAAGCCATCAGTCCTATTGAAAAGCTAGCATTAACCTCGAGGTTTGTATTATATTAAATATCTACCTACTCAAAGAGAAAAATATTGCATGTTTTATATTATCTCATTTTTATGTTTATTTTTATTCTCTGGTGCGCTAATCCATCCTTAACATTATTGTATTAGTAATAAATTGTAATGTACGAGAAGCAGTATAGCATGAGTAATACAAAATAAAAAGAAACAATCCGAAGAAAAAGATCAACTATTTAAAATAAAAAAATTAAATATTTTTGTCTGGGTATATTCATAGTATTTTCCGCTTAATGGCTTAAACTTTATTTCTCCTATACTGAGTAATTACATTCTACTGTAATAATAATAGGTCAGTATCATGGCTGTTACTAGCTGACGTATTGGAATAAACCGAAGATGTAGACGGTGGATTTATGTACTGAGTGCTTTGACTGGGAACGAATGTGTTAACTGCAGAATTTTGAACATTTAAACCGCTTGTTGTATTTTGCTGGTATTGGTTTGCACTGATAATTTCAGTATAAAGTAATTCCTGTATTTTAAAGCGAATAAACATTTGTCGATCAATCGGAAGATCCTTGAGAGGTTTGTGAAGGCTCATTAAAAAGAAATATAAATCATCTTCTGTTTTTGATTCTGGGATATTCTGTGCTAGTTGTGTCTCAATCATTCGAATCTTCTTTTTTTCTAGATTTAACAATTCATAGTCAATCCCAGAGCCCCTCTTTCTTTTTGTGTAACTACTGGTTTTTGATGCGGTCGGTGTATCTTGATCCGTAGCTGGAGTTTGGCCTTCTATCTCTGAATTTTCTTCAATTTCTGTGACATCATCTATCTCTTGCGTATCTCTTTGCGAATCTTCAGACAGTGCGCATGATGGACCAGTGGTGACAGTGCAAGAGCTTTGAAGACTGCTGCTCATTTTTCTTGAAACCATTTGATCCTTTAGAAACAACAGGTTTTTAAACCACACCCAGTTGGACCCATGATCTGCTTGGCTGCCGCCAGCGTCTCCTGATTTTCCTTTATTTATTTTTCTCACTTCTGCTCGAAAATTGTCTCTCAGGTTTTTCCACTTTGTTTTAGCAATTTCAACTGAAAATAAAAATTATATATATATATGAAAAAAATTAGCAGTTAGATTGATGGATAAGACTAAGAAACTTGAGTATTGAATTAAACATTTTTTTTTCAGGTTTTTAGCTACTGGATTATCATATAGAGCACTCGCAGACTCTTTCAGGATGGGTTTTTCGACTGTAGCAAGTATAGTGAAAGACGTTTGTACCGCAATATGGGAGGAACTACAACCAATTCATCTTGGGATACCTTCGGAACAAGATTTGTTAGAGATAAGCAGACATTTTTATAAGAAGTGGAATTTTCCAAATTGTTTTGGGTGCATAGATGGAAAACATATAAGAATAAGATGTCCATCGAATACTGGAACAAGTTATTACAATTATAAACAGTATTTCTCTATTGTTTTACAAGCAGTAGCCGATGCTAACTGCCGCTTCATTTTTATCGACACAGGTGCCTTCGGTAAACAATCAGATGGTGGAATATTTCGAGAAAGTGCTTTATATCAGCATTTAGTTACTGGAAAGTTAAATATACCAGCAGATCGTAATTTACCAAACTCAGATACAAAGCTACCATATGTTTTATTAGGAGATGAAGCCTATCCACTTCTGAATCATTTGTTAAAACCATATCCACGAAAAAATTTAGATGCACAGAAGACAATTTTCAACTATAGACTTTCAAGAGCACGAAGAGTTGTCGAATGTGCCTTCGGAATCCTTGCTGCAAAATGGCGTATTTTAACAAAAGCAATAGAAACATCTCCAGAAAATGCCGAAAAAATTGTTAATTGCATTTGTGTGTTGCACAATATAATTATTGATAAAGAAGGTATTGCCCTAATAGAAGAACCAAAGGAAAGCACAGATTCAAAGAAAAATAGGAAAAATAATAGTTCTACAGAACAAGCTAGGGATATAAGGAATTGTTATATGCAGTATTTCAATAATGAGGGCGCTGTCCCGTTTCAATATAATGTTTTATGAATAAATTATATCATTATATGAACATGTGTTTACTACTTACTTGTTATTCCACAAGAAGCTGCTATTTCCTGCCACATTTTCGATATTACATCACGATTATGATGTAAATGATTTGTTTGATCCCATATAGGGGTTCGCAAGAATATCTCATTAATCAATTTCTCGATATCCACCATATTAAATCCGTCCTCTCCAACGCTCAAAGACAAACTGATTTGTTTTGGAGCGGATCGCTCGCCGCGGACTCGTTACGACCTGCTACGGCTCGCTACGGCTCGACACCAGTATGCACCCTCGCATTGAATTATATTAGTTTGTATTTTCCGCCTTGCTCGCAACGCTACGCCTCGCTTGAATCCGCCTTGTATGTGCACGTACACTAATGGTGGCTTCTCACTACGCGTGCTACTACGCGTCGCGCCGCTCCACGCGCAAGAACACGCCACGCGACACGCCGCGCCACCCGTTTGTGCGGCGCGGCGCGGCGCGTGCCTTCTGGCTTTACACCTCAGTTTGATTCAGTCTGTTTAGCGCAGCGCACTATGTCTTGTGAGTCGAATTGCCACCTCCAGCCATGGAGCAATGCCACTGAAGAAGAAGGCATGGCTGTTGCATCAGCCGTTTTTGTCTTATTTTGTGGATATCGTTTACTTAATAAAATTAACAAAAACGGGGAGGAGACGCTGGTGGATGTCAACGTTCAATAAGAGCCGGTCAAGGTAATCATTGTTTGTATTTTGAGATAATTACATAGGTACGTAATTTTTAAGAATCCTATCAATATATTTGATGGTATCTATTGGTAAGTTTGGCGCGTTTTAAAATGAAACTTTGCTGCCGGAAAATTTAGTAAAAATTATTGTATTTTTGTTTCAGATACAATGGATCAGATATGCTATCGGATTTTGTTAAAGAACCGAGCAGAAAATTTGAGAACTTCTGTAGAATGGCACCAGAAGATTACAACTATCTAATGAATAAAATAGGCCCTATCATTGCAAAACAAGATACCCATATGAGAAAATGTATTCCAGTACAAGAACGGTTTGCAATTGCTCTCAGATTTTTAGCAACCGGAGATAGTTACACAAGCCTTTCATATCTTTTCAAAGTATCTATCCAAACAGTTTCAAGTTGTGTCACGGACGTTTGTAAAGCATTGATAAAAGAACTATCACAAGAAATAAAAGTAAGTAGTAGAATTAAGCATTTATTTTTTTCAAATCGTAAACAAATAGAAATTGACATCATCCATTTAAACTAAATTACTACCCTCCTCTTCATAGAAATCTTTTAATAGACTTTGCGAAGCTGATGTTTCGACTTGCGACAGCTGTGGAGATGGATAGTTTGGGGATGGCTGTGGAGAAGATAATGAATGATAGGTTGGGGATGGCTGTGAAGAAGGCGATGGATGATAGGTTGGGGATGGCTGTGGAGAAGGCGATGGATGATAGTTTGGGGATGACTGTGAAGAAGGCGATGGATGATAGGTTGGGGATTGCTGTGGAGAAGGCGATGGATGATAGTTTGGGGATGACTGTGAAGAAGGCGATGGATGATAGGTTGGGGATTGCTGTGGAGAAGGATATGGATGGTAGGATGTGGATGGCTGATAGTAGAGATTGCCGGAATGTCCAAAATTCGTGGGCTGTGGTGGGTTGATTAGTATTTGTGCATGTGGGTTTGACGATAGTTCTTTTTGCTTCAGATTGAAAATCAATCTATCAATTTCCAACATCGCTATTTCACGTGTATTTTCTGGTAAGCCTCTCAATTTTTTGCACAATAATTGTGTGTATAATGAACATTCATCTTGCGGGATTTGGGGTTTTTGAGTCATTTGTTTTATATAGTCGTATGCTTCGTTCATTTTATTTTCTATATCAATATTTTTAGCACGTTTTTTAGGAAGAGGTTTTGGTCTTTTAAATTGAACTGATTCTTCATCATCCTGTTTACTATCTTCAGAGGCATCTAAATCACGGTTATCTTCTATTTCTTCTATGTCGTCAGTGACCTAAAAATAAGAAATATTCATGATAATTTACAATATTTCTATTTGTTTTAGCTGCCACGGACATCATCTGACTGGTTAAGGATAGAGAAAGGATTCCGCAGAACTTGGAATTTTCCTCACTGCTTAGGAGCTATCGACGGAAAACATGTGCTAATACAAAGTCCTATTCATAGTGGATCTGAGTTTATCAACTATCACAAAACATTCAGTGTTGTATTAATGGCTTTAGTCGACGCGGATTACAATTTTATTTTTGTGGATTGTGGGTGCCAGGGCCGAATAAGCGATGGTGGTGTATACAGAAATACCAACTTATATAAACAAATCTGTAGAAAGGAATTGGGTTTTCCACCGCCAGACTGCTTACCGCTGAAAGTAACACCTCTACCTTACGTATTTGTTGCAGACAGTGCATTTGCTCTAACGGAAAATATGATGAAACCTTACGCTGGAACTCATAATAAGGGATCTAAAGAACGCGTGTTTAATTACCGCCTTTCACGAGCTCGACGGATTGTTGAAAATGTCTTTGGCATTATGTCTGCGGTGTTTAGAGTACTAAGAAAACCCATGCTTTTACAACCAGATATTGTAACTGATATTGTGATGACATGTGCATTGTTACACAATTTTTTGAGATGGTCTAAAAGGTCTAGACTTATATATACCCCTCCTGGATCCTTTGATACCGAAAATGATGATGGCGAGATTCAGCCCGGTTCTTGGCGTGATGACCAAAATGGAGTTGCTTCCCTACTACCACTCCAAAATCGGCCAAGAATAGCACCTCTTTCCGCCAAGAATATAAGAGACCAGCTTGCAGAATATTTTATAACAAACGGTGCGGTTGCCTGGCAAAATAATTATTAATTTTTTAAGTAAATAAAGTACTTACCTCAGAATCCTTCGTTTTCTTTGGAGTATACACATCATTCAAAAATTGGGCCATCACATTATAAAATGGCCAGTCAGGCTTATAGATTTCATCAGCACCGCTGCCAGACTTTATTGATTGGCAAACTTTACTTCTTAATTTTCTATAGGTTCCCATTAAAGAATCCCTTTTCTTTTTAATTTCTTGTAACGGTATGGTACCACCTTTTAAATTCTGTTCAATTCGCAGCCAGGCATCATGCTGGTCGTTTTTGTTTTTATGCTCCGCATTTTTCGAATTCCACAGAGAGGGTTCGCCTTCATACAAAGTTAAAAATTCGGCGATCGTTTCATTCGGCCACTCCATATTCACCACAGTACCTCAACGTAGGACGAGTCAAAATGAAATGAACGAGTTCAATCGTGTTCGTCTGTCTGGGTAGGTACACGCCGCGCCGCGCCATTGAAGTTACCGACTTTTAGCGGATAGGTCGCGCCACGCCGCGCCTGCCCGCGCCAAGCTCTTCACACTGCGCGAGGCGCGTGCCGGCGCGGCGTGGCGCGGGTCAACACGCGCAGTGAGAAGCCGGCATTACAAATTTGCAATTTCTGAGTTTGATTTCCCAGAATTAAAAACATTAATTATCAGTAACCGAATTTTCTCACTAATAACCTTTCCTTTACCCATTTTGAAAACCTTAACTACCCGAAACTATTTTAAACGTATTCTGACAGCTGTGATTAATAAAAACAATTGTCATGGCCTTTATTTTTCACAGCCACCTATGCGTTATAGACTTATTTTGCATTGAAAAGAAAATAGGTTGATATGCTGTAATTGCAACATGTGATATTTTTATGCTGCAAATTTGATTAGGGAGTGATAAAGTTGGTGTTTTCTAATATATATTATCAAAATATTCATTGTTAATATTTTAAACCTATAACACCCTGCTACATTTTTATTATTTGTGTTTGATAGCAAAAAAACTAAGATTTCAATAGTTGGGCCAACTGAAGTGGGAAGGGGTTCGTAGAAGTACAGTCGACGCGGCAAGTGCAATTACAGCGTGCAAATTTCTGTTATTTCATTTAATTTGATGGAAGTACCTATTTTACAATTACAATTCGCTCTTCGTAGACAACCCCTTGACTTCGCTTAACAACTACACTGAGAAATTTATAAAAGACATCCGAATTTGGCATTTCACTAGAACTACACGGAAATGGGATGCAAGTCTTTCATTAAGGGATTGATTGATTAGCTAATTGCTTAATGGTCGCAAATTCATTGAATCTAGCTGAATAGGAGGGATAACCCTTCATAACAAACGTGCCTCAGCTCTTCTGAGCCTAATGTTTAGACCTTATCAGAAAATAGTAAATTGTGTAAAAGGATGTTGAAACCCTATATCTTTCATAATGTCTAACAATTAATGAGATGCGTGCATGGGATGCAAAACCCGCCTAACCCTTTCGCTGCGACCCACTATATCTTTACTTCACCCGAAGCGGCACCTATTTTTTATTGCAAAATGCAAGAAGGTAATTTAAGTTTTAGATATTGATAGTTACTAATATGTTTACCTTAAAATTTCATTGTTTCTTGTTTGCGGCATACATGCGCGCCAGGCGCACACAGCACGTTATTTGTGACTGAGTGCGCACTGGCACACATGCGTGTCACATTCATTGTCAATATATATAGGGCAAAAAATAATAGAAACATATATTCAAACATATTTATTTCTCGATAAAACAAAAAACAGATCTCTAAATAAAATGTAAAAATTAAAATAACAATAAAGGGTCAAAAATATTTCAAAAATAAATGAATGAAATTTCTGAACCAGCAAATGTTACATAACAAGTAATAAAAAAACAACAAAAAACTAATTCTTATGAAAAAAAGTCAAAATTAAATTAATGAGAATTCTCGAAATACAGATTTATATAAAAAACATCACAACTATCCCTACTGCGAATGAAAACTGGCAAAACACTCAACACAAAGTCCAGGTTCTTCGGGACAAGACGTGCAGTGATACAAAGTCAACTTCCGTATATTACGCTGCGAGCAGACCCAACATCTTTTCCTGTTTGTTCGTCCTGACGCATTTGAAGATATAATTCTGGAGATGGTGTGTTCTGTCGGTCTCACGCGAGGAGTTTTTGTAACCGTTATATTCAATAAATTTTCTAATAATGTAAGTCTGTAATCATACAGTGACAACTTTCTCCCTGAATATTTATTATAAATAAAATAGGAGTTCAACAGCATCAGATGTATTATATGGATTCCTAACATTTTGTACCATTTCAATGTTTTGCGGTCGCAAGGATAATATGCAGTGAGTTGGTCTTGGTAGGCTATCCCACCCATAAATTTGTTATAATAAAATATAGGCGCAGGCTTCTCTGACACGATTTCTCCTGTCTGCATATTCAACCATACGATTTTCGTATTCGGTAGAAATATAGAGGACATCACGCTTATCTTTCCATTTTCCGATCATGATTTCACCTGAATACTGAGCTGTAGATTCACCCTTTTTCAGCTTTTTATTTACAACGGCATTGGGGTTGTTCTTTCTTTTGGCATTTAGCGTACCTGTACAAAAGGTGTTACGGCAGATCAATGATTTCGCAAGCTCAAAAGAATTATAGAAATTATCCAAATAAATGGAGTGTCCTGAATCTAGATAGTTTTGAAGAAGGTCAAGCACAACTTTCGAGGTATGACCTTTTCCACCTATGCTGTCATCCATTGCCCCAGTGTATATTCGCGTTTTTAAAATTAAACCGCCAGGCTCGGTCAACATATATAGTTTTACACCATATCTATGTTTTTTATTTTTAATGTATTGCCTAAAGACTAAGCGACCTTTCCATAATACCATGGATTCATCTAAAGATAGTTCTTTTTGGGGATAATAAATAGCCGCCATCTTTTCATTGAAAAAATTCAAGAGCGGATTTATTTTCTGCAGACGATCCCCTGGATTTCCTTCAGGTACATTTTCAGCAAAATGTAGGCATCTCATTATGAGTAGGAAACGATCCCTACTCATACAGTCTGATAAGTCCCTGAAAAATGAAACACGGAGACGTTTTTTTGGCCAAAGTCGGTCTTATTTTTCAACATACTCTCCTTTTAGGTCGATACAGCGAATCCAACGATTTTCTAACTTTTTGATACCGTCCGAAAAGTACTCGATCGGAAGGTCTCCAAAATACGCTTCAGTTTCAGCTATGAGCTCCTCATTTGAGTAAAAACGCTTACCGATGAGCCATCTCTTCAGGTTAGGGAATAAGTAATAGTCGCTGGGGGCCAGGTCTGGTGAATACGGTGGCCGAGGAACCAATTCGAAGCCGATTTCATGCAATTTTGCTTGTGCAACTAAGCATGAATGAACAGGCGCATTGTCGTGATGATAAAGCGGTTTTTTCTTCTTCAAATGCGGTCGTTTTTCGGCGATTTCGATTTTCAATCGGTCCAATAATGATGAATAGTATGCTCCGGTTATGGTTTTACCTTTTTCAAGATAGTCCACGAATATTATGCCATGAGCATCCCAAAATACGGAGGCCATAACCTTTCCGGCCCGTTGTTGCGTTTTTGGACGCTTCGGAGCACTTCGGCCCGGTGGAACCCACTGTTTTGCCTGTTGCGTTGACTCAGGAGTGTAGTAATGGATCCAGGTTTCATCCATGGTTACAAATCGTCGCAAAAACTTGGTCGGCTTACGCGAAAATAATGCCAAATTCTGCTGGGAAGTCGTCATACGAATTCGTTTTTGGTCCACTGTGAGCAAACGCGGCACCCATCGCGCGCGGAGCTTCTTCATGCCCAAAACTGAATGGACGATATTGCCTACGCGTTCCAATGACATGCCTACAGCATTAGCTACCTCTCTCAATTTCACTTTGGGATCATTCAACATCATATCATGGATTTTTTCGACGTTTTCTGGTGTAGTGACCTCTTTTGGGCGCCCAGATCGTTCAGCATCAACTGTGCTCGTACGGCCACAACGAAACTCCGTAAACCACTTATGAATCGTTCCAATCGACGGTGCAGAGTCCGGGTAATACTTATCCAGCTTGGCCTTGGTCTCGGATATCGTTTTCTTGCGTATATAGTAGTGTTTGATCAAAACTCGAAACTCGGATTTTTCCATATTAAAAAAAACTCTGAGGTTAGTCGCTTCTCAGTGCTGTAACTTGTAAATGCGTAAACATGAATGGCTGAAGTTTTGACAGGTGTCATTTGAAGGATCAGGCTCGACAAAAATGGTTCGCATTAGTGAATACTAATGCCATCTCTTAGAATTTTCAGGTACTTATCAGACTGCCTAGCATGTTCCCCGAAACAACGAATATTAAATAGGGGATGTGTAACGGATTGTTCCTGTGTGAAAGACCAAGGCAATAAAAATCAACATTTCATCATCGGTTTCCATCGAGTAATGCGTGATTTTTCGAAGATGCCCTGAGATAAAAACACTTGCTCAGCATAATTATTTGTCTCCCTTACAATTAGGTTCAATATTTCATCGTCAAATATTGCCCTAAAATAATCAATGGGCTGATTATCCCCAGAAATTGTCTGCAACAGCTTATTTGTTTTTAAAAACTAAATACTTTTCATTCCTGGCGGGTCGTCACACCACGATGGAGTATCGCTACTGGCTATCGCAGCCGTAGGTAACGGTTTGTGTATTTGCGGGTTTTGAGGTGGCAAGCTTGTGTCTGCAATAAAATATACGATATAAAACAATACAAAACAAAAAATATACCTTTTATCTTCATTATCGTCATCAGAACTTTCTTCTGACTGAGAATCTGGCTCAAAATCATCAACATCCGATGGTATTTCCTCTAAATCTGAGTCCGAACATTCTAAAATACTTAATAATTCGGCATCTGTTAGTGCATTAGGATTTTTAAATGTGACTTTCCTTTTTTTTGGCTGAGAAGGACCCGCACCGATATCATCCATGTTTCGCGAATTTAGAAAACTAAACTAATAACTAAGACGATTTGTATATAATTTCGTACCTCTACAACACGCTACTCGCGATACATTAACCTTAAAGCCACGCTGACAAAGTAATGGCCGTACAAGTATTACTGAACCAGCGGCATACATGTGTGCCGGCAGCACCACGCGTAGGACGGCTATCGCAATATCTGTTAATAATCAATTAACAATGTTAGCGTATCTTTAGAACATATCGTCGGTCATCTCACGAAGTGACGTATCTTAACATTTAGATAATTGTTCAGGAGAGGCGAAAAACCAAATTGCTTCATATTTGAATTGCTTTAAATCCTGACATGATTGAGTTTTAGATCTGATATATTTATATGTCATTTAGTGCTATGCAAGTTATGAATACCTGTCACGTAAGAGACCACAACTATTCACACTTCTGAGAAAAAAAGTTTGAATGCAGATACGTCACTTCGTGAGAAACTAAATCTTGACTTTTTGGAGATACGTCTCTTTAACTAAATGTATGGGGAAGGCACAAAAAATAAATAGCTAGATACAAATCAAATAGCGTTCTATTACAAAATAAAACAAACAGTACTAAAACATTGAAAAACATTGAAAAACAAATAAATCAAATTCACATGAGAAGAAAGTAAGATTATGTTGTAACAGCGCCACCTTCAACTAACTTGTTATTTTTTTGCTAGATTATATTGGAAGCAAAAGAGCTATTACTAATAAAGTAGTATTAGACACTGACAAGGGTTCAATCCTAGGTTATGCCAATTCGTCACTATGGGGAAGAGTAAGGAAAAACTGTTGATGTTCCGGTAAACGAATTACGGGAGTTTCTCCTTGACACCAGGAAACCAAGTCTTTATATTTTTTACAAGATATCTTTGGTTGTTCCTTGTTCAGTTCGGGTAGTTCTAATTTTGAGAGATCAATGTTTAGACGTTTTAGAACTATACAGTCGTATTCGGGCTCTAAATGGCTGTTTTTGAAAAATATTTTTAGCGAGGAAGCTTGTGTAACTAACACTTCCATTACATCGGTCCACTTAACGTTCTTGCCACTTTCGCTGATTCTAATACTCAGGATTCTAAGATCTTTTGATAACGACTTATAATCTTTAAAGTCGCTGAACTTCATTGGAACAACCTTATAAGGGCTGTTTCTTCGTGCCAGACTTATTATTGGATATAGCTGAGAAGGCAAAAATACATTACCAGCTTTAGAAATAGCTCTGCTGATAGCACTATGAGCGGAGTCCCCTTCGCTCTGACCATGGTTCGTTTCAAAAAAACGTAAAGAGATTTCTTCTATAGTGGGAAATTTGCTTATGGAATGGAGCAGCATGGAAGCGACGATTCTTGTTTTGGCCGTAGCAACCGTCTGCGTACAAATAAAAATTTCTAACACCTTTCTTACTGTAATGCTCCAAAACTTGTGATATGCAGGTTGCTATTTCCGAAGAGCCACGCTTACTGACTGCTTCGTGCCACACGAAACAAAAGCAATCTCTCGTTGCTACGTTATAAAACGTAAAATTGTATGTAGTTAAACGAGTTTTATAAAAAACTGCACTTTCGTTAGAAATAGGTACATAAATCACTTGCTGTAAGTCAAAAACACCACAGACACTGGACGAATCTTGTTTGGCGTTTTGTTTACAATGAGATTTCAGTGAACGAACTTTTACCTTTTCGGCAATATGAAGATCGTATCGAGCTTTTAATTTATGTTTAACGGTATCGTTGCCTTCCCTATAAGACACGCAAAGGGAACATTGATCTTTTTTTGGTGAATGAAAAGATAAGTTTTTGGCCTTAAATACTCTTCTATAGGTATGAAAACTTGGTTTTTCCACTCTTCCAACTTTCTCTAATTCATCTAAATAATGCATTTTTCTTAAATTCAAATCTGGGTGTAAGTACATTTTGGTAGTGCTAGCACGGCAATAATGAGATTCTACTCTGGGGAATCTATCAATATGCTCACTTATATCCTTTCTTATGAATTCCTCTCGTTTTTTCTCATCATCTTTTCTCTGCCTTCCTCCCCTTTTATCTGCTTCCAAGATTCCACACTCTTTCACTTTGCTTAAAGCAGTTCGAGTTGTACGCTCTGAAATCGATAGAGTATTCAAAAATAATTTTTTACAAACAACCTTTCGTTCTCCAGATAATGATGTTAAAGTGTATACTACACTTTGTTGTCGTCTTGACTCCTTATTCGTAGTTTTTCTTTTGATTGCTTTATTTTCCAGGTGTCGTATTAACCCTTTCAGGACCGACGCGTCCACGAAAAAACATGCCTGCTGGACCAGAATTTTTGGATGGTCATATGACACGATGACGGCTATATCCGACGAAATCATAAAACAGTATAATTCTTTTTTTATTCTATTAAAGCATACTTAGAAACACAAACAGCAGTAAATAGAACTAAAGAAGGTCAATCAAAACTAAAATTGAAGCCCTAGAACTAATACCTAAAGACAAAAAAACAAAAATAAGAGCACATCGTATCAAAAAAACTCGAAAGACATTTTACTTCAGAAGTGATTTTCTTCATGATATATTTTGAAGCATGGAGCTGGACACAACCCAACATCGCATTCCTTACACATATATTTGGTTTCTTTTCTTTTCTTAGGTTTTTGTTTGCTGTGGGAACATACATAGCATCTCCTGTAGGCCGATTTGATGCCTTCCTTGACTGTAACCAGATCGGGAAAATGTCTTTGTGCGAGTCTTTTATTTCCAAGATCCAGGTGAACAGATCTCGAAGCTGTTTTTTGAAACCTGCAAAAATCGAAATATAGAACTATTTTTAGACAAAAAGAAATATATATATATATATATATATATATATATATGACGGTCCCACATGAATTGGTTTTATTTTCAAATAGAAATGTTGACAAAGTTGGACTGGTATAAAAGTTGTCAGTAAAAAGAGAATGACCCTTGTTCATGTTTTGTTGTAATAGATTACTGACAATTTCACCTATAGCACCCAATCCACGAGTATCTTCTTGTGTGCCTTTGCCTACGTACACTATAAAATCCAAGACGATGCCAGTCTCACAATCACACAAGACATACAGTTTGATTCCGAACCTATGTCTTTTTGTTTTGATGTATTGACGAAAACTGAGGCGACCTTTGAAAAGGACCATACTTTCGTCAATAACCAAATGTTCGAAAGGATAAAACTGGGATTGAAATTCTCTTTTAGAACGGTCAAAATATTTCCAAATTTCCAAAATCGATTGTGAGGCTTTACCTCCTCATTATTAGCGAAATGAAGATAGCGATGTATCTCGCAATATCTGTTTCTTGACATAGTCTGTCCAAAAACGGGAGTGCTGAGTAAGATATCTTGGGTCCAGTACTCTTTGATATTCAGTTTCTTTACACGTGTCATAAGCAGAGCGAAAAATACGTAAAGTTCTGGAATGTCAACGCTTTTCCACTTAGGTGCATCTCTTTGAATGGCATACCTATTTGTTTCGATGGCAATGACGTTCATAATATTTTCAGATAAAAGACTCAAAAAGAAATCTACTTCACTGCTTTGATCATTTAAACTAACATTTCTTAATCCGCTATTAGTACTATCAAATGCAAAAACTTGCGGAATAAACTCTTTGTCCATCCATTTTATTTCTAACCTCGTACGTTCTCTAATAATATCCATTCTCTCGTCCATTGCTGTCTCAGGTTCCAAGACCGGCGTTTGAGATGAATCATGCTTGTTGTCTTCACCTTCAGACACTTGCAAGTAGTCGTCCTCTGAAGATTCACCTTCCGAGCTGGGAATAAACTCGCATCCACTGTCAGCAAAGGGATCTTCGGGCTCATCCTCATCGGAGCTCATAAGATATTGTGAAAGATTTCGGACTTCCTCCGGGGTCAGCCCACAATAGCCCGCACCTGCATTATCTCTTTTACGCTTATTTCGTCCTTTTCGACCGTCAGATGTACTGGGTTCAGCGTTATCCATCTCGCACAATGAACAGAACAACAAAAGAGTCAAACACAAACTAACTATGTCTACAATGTCCCAATAACAACACGAAACTGTTTCAAACCAGTCATAATAAGTAGATTTACCTGCTCCACGTGTTCGACGCCAAACTCCCCCGAGCGTCCACCGTCGCCCATGTTCGACAGTGTCGGATTCTCAAGCCATTGGTCTGTGGGGAAATGCAGTGCTGAGCGGATTTAGCCGACACTGGTCCCTGTGAGAAGTTTAATTTTTAAAGGTGTCGTAAATGATCGACATTGGTTTTACCAGTTTGTTTCACCCCTGTCGTATACACCCGACACTGGACCTAGGGACAAGTTTCTTCCTGTCGGAACTTGCCGTCAGCGGTACCGAAAGGGTTAAAAACTCCCTTTGCCGCGTCAAATCACCAAGTTCATAATAATATTCGAAAATCATTTTTCTATCGTCTTCATTTATCATAATACATTGCTTGCCAAACTTCATACATTTTTTTGAACCACAACGTTCTTTGACTGATCTAGCCGGAACAGGTTTCTTCTTAAATGGACTAACATATTCTTAACCCAAATTTCTCATTTTTTTGGCAAGCTTCTGCGTATTCATGATTGGTGGTTTTTCCGAACCGTTTCCTTCCTTTTTCGCACCTTCAACCAAAAATGATTCTGGACGTGATTGTTGTGGACTTTCTGACAGCGGAGAAACTTCAACATGTCGCTCTGAGTTTCTATTTATTTTTTTGACATGCTCGGAACAAGTATCTGAGTCTTCCAACATGTGCTCCCAACAAAGTAAAATGAAGCATCGATGGCAGGCGCTCCAGACTTCCCGCCTGCAATTGGCAACCTCGCACAATCCCCATGACGGATCTGCGTCTGAGTCGTAAGTTGGCGATGGAATGTGTGATTGAGGAGTTATTAACTTCTTAACTAATGAAGACAGTGGAGCCTCATCGTCCTCACTCCATACCGGCTTCAATTTATTTAGCGGAATATTGTCTGCAGAGTCGCTACTGCTGTCCTCTATGGTTTCAAGAGCTAGGACACATCCCCAATACCACTTCTTTTTAAAAAACATCTTAACTCGTCTTCCTACTGCAATGGTCTCCGAGTTCCACGTATGAAGTTCACTAGCGTTCACCACGTTTTTGGTACCATCCTCCCAGAGCACTAGGACATCCATGTCTGCTACGTGTTCTCACCTGCAACAGGGGTGGTTTCATAGTAAAGATTTCTGTTAAAACATATGCAATGACATCAACTAACTGTTTATAAGAACTGTACTTAACACATTCGCTGCTACCGTTTACAGTAGTGGGGGACCCTCGGTGCTACAATACTTTTTTCGGTAAAATGGTTTTGTAAAGGTGTTAGAATACGGATACAATGTGTAGTAGACGGAAATTTAGTCTGCTAGTTAGTTTTTGGTTCATGACTCCAATCGGAGTCACGAGCACATTTCTAAGAATTTCTTTCCTGGTGCTGACTGGCTCCGATCGGAGCCATGCTAATTTCTGGCAGATTGGTGTGTGTGGATAAACAGATTGATAGGGTGACCTTAGAAAAACCCTATAAAATGTTTTTTGTGATACAAAATGAAACAAAAAATGGTAAAAAATGCAAACAGTGACAAAAAATAATTTTTTATTCTTTCACAAAGTGAATCGTAAAAAACAGTAAAATGAACGCAGTACCCTGGTTGCCCAGGACACTTTTCGCAATGGTATGTCGTTTGTTTCCTTATCTTATTTTGCGAACATACTTTACAACGCTTTCTGTTGACTCGCCCATCCTTAGCAAGTGTAGGTATTTTTGAAAGAACATGTTTGGATGCTTCCTTTCTTGTTGGTGTTGCATTGGTAGTTTCAATTCCCAATAAACTGCTGCTCAAAACCGCCAGCCTGAAGTCGTACAGCGACAATTTGGAATTCGAAAATTTCTTATACATTAGATACGAATTCAATAACATTAGATGTATGTAATGCACACCCAGTTTTTTATACCATCTGAGGGTTTTCCTCTCACATGTGTAGTATGAGCTGAGCTGATCCTGCCGATCAACACCTCCCATGAACTTATTGTAGTGCAAAATGGCGGCTGGTTTCTCCCTAGTACGATTTCTCTTGTCGATGTATTCAACCATAGCATTATCGTGCATGTTAGAAATATATAATACGTCACGTTTGTCTTTCCATTTCCCTACAACAATATTATTGGAATATTGGGCAATCGTTTCCCCTTTTTTCAGTTTCTTTGTGAGAACCCCTTTAGGATTATTCTTCCTCTTCGGATTTAGTATTCCAGTACAGTATGTACCACGCCTTGTCAGCTCAAACGCCAAATCAAAAGAGTTATAAAAATTGTCCATATATACGACGTATCCTTGATTGAAACGGCCTTCTAGTAAGTTCAGCACTACTTTAGATGTGTGACCTTTGCCCCTCCACTGTCGTCAAGTGCTCCAGTATATATCAATGTTTTCAAGATGATACCACTTGGTTCTGTCAACATATATACTTTTATGCCGTACTTATGGCGTTTATTTTTGATATATTGCCGGAATACCAGCCGCCCCTGCCATAAAACCATTGACTCATCAAGCGCGAGATTTCTTCCTGGAGAGTAGATCGTCGACATCTTTTTGTTGAAAAAATTAACGATGGACCTTATTTTGTACAAGCGATCTGTGACGTTTTCCCCTTCAACTGGATTTTTCGCAAAATGCAAGCATCTCATAATAATCAGGAATCGGTCCCTGCTCATGTGCTTGGAAAAACATGTTAGGCCAAAAGGGGCGTGATTTTTCCAATAATCTTGCAGTCGATTCATTTTTATGGTGCCCATGTGTAATACTAATGCCACAAACTTTAGCATTTCTTCGCCGGTAACTGGTTTCCACCGCGAAATCCGGGAATGTTCAGATACTCCTTGTGATCGAAACACCTCTTCAGCATAGAGATTTGTTTCGGTCACAAGCAAATTTAGAATTTCGTCGTTGAAAATCATTCGAAAGTATGCTATCGGTTCTGGTTCAGGGTTCGGCACTAAAAGCGAATTAGCGTTCAAAAATGGAAAATTTTCCATGTTCATAGGAACGTTGGACCAGTTAGGATTAGTGTCGCCCGCTTCATTTTCCATATTAGCATCCTTATCAGCTATATTTTGCACGTATTCCTGACCTGCAACGTCATGTGCAATTTCTGGACCTGGCAATGCTGTTGGAATTTCACGTGGAGTTTCTGAAAATTATACTCTGCTATAGAAACATAAATAGTCAATAAATTCATATAAAGAACCTTCGGCTGAATCGTCTGCCTCAGATTCAGAATCGCTCTGTTCCAGAGTAAGATCTAAATCACTTTGATAACCGCTTCCGCCCAAAAGATCATCCTCTTCATCACTCGAATACATCAAAGCTGCTAGAAGCTCCTCGTCAGTGAGCTTGTTGGGGTTTCTGAATGTGGGTCTGCATTTCTTGGGCTTTGAGAGACCCTCCGGCATATCTTAGCCAGGAAAAAAAGAAACCGGAAACGGCGCACAAATTCTTCACTGCTTATACCTTTCCTACACGCTCCCAAATGTACATGCATCTAAGTCACGCGCTCGTTCCAGACTGCCGCTTTCCGTGGCAACTAGTTGGCGACTCCGATTGGAGTCGCGCGCACTGCGCTTAGGAATGCGGCGACTCCGATCGGAGTCATGCGCACTGAATGTGTTAATAACATTTTGTACATGATAACGACACACAATTGATGATATGAAACTTAAAAATACTTGCGCACCTCGTTAAATGCCTTTATTACTTACCTCTCTATAAACAAACTGATTACCACACACTAAGCACTAACTAGGTCGCTTACAAACAATCTTCAAAAAAATATACCTAATAATCGGTTAATACAGACGACATAACCTCGCAATCCACATACCACTGCACGTGCATCTACAGGGTCCGGCATTGAAACTTTCTTTTTTCATAGGTAAAAAATAAAAATATATATTGCACATTTTTATTAATTTTTGTATTACCATTAGACAGTAATATGGGAAGTTTGAAATCAAGTTGTTTTAAACAGAATATTTGACAAGTGTCTACCATTACTGTCGATACATTGCTGTAACCGATTTCTGAAGTGTGCGTGGACCCTTTCCAGCATATCATTCGGTATGTTGGCCATCTCGTAACGGATATTGTTTTTCAATTCTTCCAGGGTTGCAGGACGGTTGTTATACACTTTTGATTTGAGGTAGCCCCATAGAAAATAATCACATGGAGCTAGATCTGGCGAGCGTGCGGGCCATGGAATGTCACCTCGGTTGGAGATAAGTCGCCCTGGAAAATTTTGTCTCAAAACAGGCATTGAAAGTCGTGATGTATGGGCTGTGGCCCCATCTTGCTGGAACCATGCATCGCCTAAGGCCATATTTTCAAGAGCTGGCAGAAAGAAATTGTTAATCATTGTCACATAACGCTCAGAGTTTACAGTAACTGTGCGATTATCTTCCTCAAAAAATATGGCCCAATGATCCCCACTCTTGATATCGCAGCCCAAACTTTTTTTTTTTTTTTTTTTTTTTTTTTTTTTTTTATATCGAAACAGCCGCGCAGGCAGAAGCCTAAATGCCGGAACACCGCGGCTGCTATGATGATCCCAAAGAAATTTTGTTAATACGATTTTTGAACTGCCTAAGGTTAGTAGAACTGGGAAAAGCTTCCTCCCGTAGTTTGTTCCACAATCTAGATACCCTCGGGATAAAGGAGCGGTCGTATCGGCCAGTTCTGGATGTACGAAGTTTGACACGGTTAGGGTGGGACGCCGAAGTCAGGCGGGTCTGTCTGGCAGGCACATCGCGCGGCGGCATCATGGAAGAGAGCTCTGAGGAGCAAAGCCCGTTGGTGTAGCGATAGAAAAGAGCTAGATCGCCGACGGCCCGCCGGTGCGAAAGAGTCCCGAGACTGTCTGTTAGAGAAGAGTCATCGATCAGTCGGACCGCCCT